ACATATATGTATACATATATATATAAGATATATATATATATATATCTTTTATATCTTTTAAGCAAGGGTGAAACAATGAAAAATACAGCACTATTAGCCATATTAGCCATCTAATACGTTTATCTAACACATCATATTTATTTTTCTCTGCCCTTATTACACTTGATAATTTTAAAGACCACTTCCTAGCCCCACCTCCCACCCCCACTGGTTCAGTTCCTGGAGACAGTTTGGTGTTAAGTGTTGGTGACTGATGTGTGTACACACCTGCTCGTCTTTGTGTTCATTGGTAATTTATTTCTTGGTCACTAGATGGTGCTCTTTTACTTTGAAATAAAGTCCATTCTATCAAGGCTTTTGCTTTTTATCCGTTTATTGTTCAGTTGAGGCAGAGATGATAGACAGATTTTTCCTTAAACTGGGATCTAAGGCTTCCTGGTACATAGGAATTTTAATGTGATTATCTAACCTGTAAAATAGGAGGTTTACAGGTTATCATGCCAATCACTACTTACCCTTTCTTGTGTGTGTGTGTGAGAAAAATACTTATAGAGAAGCATTTTGTCATGGGTGTTGGGCCAGTACATAGAGATTACAGTTAAAAAGTCTCATAAGATTTAATCTCCAGTTTCATATTCTTAAGAATCTCACGTATCTCAGCAGGTGCTGAGGCAAGTGTGATGTGCAGGCCAGGTTTGAGAAGCACTGGGCTCACTCAGACCAGTGCTATATTAATGCATTTTCAGGGTGCATTAGTGTCAGTGTCAGCCAGCAGAAATGCAAACCCCAAGATCGAAAAATTGGAAATTCATACGTTGTAGAATGAAACTTCACCCTTATCTCTACCCTGCACAAAACTCAAAGTGGACCAAAGACCTAGGCATTAGACCAGAGACCCTGCAGCTGCTAGAAGAAAAATGTAGGCCCAACACTCCAACATGTCAGCACAGGAACCAACTTCCTTAACAAGGTTTCTAAAGTCTAAGAAGTAAAATCAAAAGTTAATAAATGGGATGACATTAAATTAAAAAGCTTCTTCACAGCAAAGGAACCAATCAAAAGTGTGAACAGAGAGCCTACAGAATGTGAGAAAATCTTTCTCACCTGTTTCTCAGATAGGGCATTAATCTCCAGGATATAAAAGAACTCAAAAAACTTAACACCAAAAAAACCCCAAACCATCCAATCAATAAATGGGCAAAGGAGCTAAATAGATAACTTCTGAAAAGAAGAACTATGAATGCTCAACAGATATATGAAAAGTGTTCAAAATATCTAGCAATTATGGAACTGTAAATTAAAACTGCTCTGAGATTTTATCTCACTCCAGTCATAAAGGCAGTTATCAAGAATAAAAGTAATAATAAATGTTGGAAAGGATGTAGGGAAAAAGAATACTGTTTTAGTCAGCTTTTATTGCTGTTGTAACTAAAAGATGGGGAAAGAAATATTTTAGAGGAAGAAAACTTTATTTAGGGTTTCATGATTTCAGAGGTCTCAGTTCATAGAGAACTGGATCCATTCTTTGGGGCTCAAGATGAGGCAGGACATCATGGCAAAAAGTATGGCAGAGGGAAGCAGATCACATGATGATCTTGAAGCAGAGAGAGACTCCACTCACCTAAAACCAAATATATACCCCAAAGGTGGGCCCACAATGATCCACCTTCTCCATCCATACCTTACCTGCCTTTAGTTCCCACTCAGTTAATCCCATCAGGGGATTCATTCACCGATTGGGTCAAGGTTCCCGTAACCCAATCATTTCTTCTCTAAACCACCTTGTGTTGTCTTGTACTTGAGCCTTTGGGAGGCATATCACATCCAAACTGTAACAGATATACTCATATATTGTTGTTGGGATGGCAAATTGGTGCAACCACTCTGGAAAGCAGTATAGAGATTCCTGAAAAAACAGGAATGGAACCATCTTATAACCCATCCCACTCCTCCATGTATATTCAAGGGATTTAAAATCAGCATACTGTAGTGACACAGCCACATCAATGTTTATACCCACACAATTCACAGTAGCCAAGCTACAGAGCCAATCTAGGTGCCCTTCAGTAGATGAAAAGATAAATAAAATTTATATATACACACTCAGTGGAGTATTACTTAGACATAAGGAATGACTCTATAGCATTTGCTGATAGGATGATAATTTACAGGTTCCATCAATTTAAGTAAAATAAGCCAGTCCCCAGAAGTCAAAGGACTAATGTTTTCTCCGATATGCAAAAGCTAATCCAAAATAAAGGGTGTTGGATTTGGAAAAACAAAAAAGAAGAATCATCATCATCAGTGGAGTAGACAAGAGAATGAAGGGAAGGGAGGAGGGATGTGATAGGGAAAGACAGTGGAATGAATGTGACCTAACTTTTCTCTGTACATATATGAATATACCATAGTGAATCTCAGCATCATATACATTCACAAGACACTAAAAAGAAGCTCTAAGTAAATAGAAAGATCAGTAGAATAGAAGGGAGGCAAGAGGGGAAGGAAAGGGGAAGTACTGGGACTGAATTAGAATAAATTATATTACATGTTTTTATAATTATGTCAAAATGAATCCTATTGTTATGTATAATTAAAAGAACCAATAAATAAAAGAATACAAAATTAAATAAATTAAAATGTAGGGGAAAAAAAAAGAAAAGCAGACCCAAGTTGAGGATCGTCATTTTGAATGCAGATAACTTTTTATATAAATATTGCCTGGAGGAATTACAATGAACATCATAAGAATTATGAACGTAGGGGAAAAGTATCCATCGTATTATAGAGAGAAGGCCAGCCTGTCCTTGTTAGGATGCAGGAGGGGACAAGCATTGTGAATAAGAGGTCATATTGCAGGTTCTCTTCTAACTTGTGGTGGTTGGCCATGCGTTGTGCCCTATTCTTAGGTTCCTTTATTTATAACACCTGATATTTAGACATTTTAGAAAGTTTTGAACAGTGTTAAGATCTTTAATCATCACCATGTCCCTTTGACAGGGCAGATGTCAGAGGAGGGATTTAAAAACAGGATAAAGAGTGGTACCTAGGCCAAGAGCAACCATCAGGAGACAGTCCAGGGAGTGGGCAGGGGCTGGAGATGATGGTGCTGATTCAAGCAAGGCTGCTGGGATGTGTCCCTGAAAGGCCAGAGCATTCCTGAACTCTGAAGCTTCATGGGGCACTGCTCTGAACTATGATTTCACCATCTTGACCCTAAGAATAACCCATTAGCTGTAAGAAAATGTTCTTCCCCTCCCCTTCCCTCTTTCTCATTGCCCAGTTGCACCTTAAGAATAAGGTGGGCTTTTCCCAGCGGCTCGGGAGGCTGAGGCAGAAAGACAGCAAGTCCAAAGCCAACCTCAGCAAAAGTGAGGTGCTAAGCAACTCAGTAAGGCCTTGTCTCTAAATAAAATAGAAAATAGAGCTGAGGATATGGCTCAGTGGTCAAGTGCCCCTGAGTTCAATCCCCAGTACCTGCCTCCATCCCCCCCCCCCCCGGCCCCTCCAAAAAAGTATGGTAGGCTTAGCCTGACATGGATTTTTCTCTGGACTGGGATAGGGAGATCACAATACAGGGGAAATATGTGTTGTGTAGTTAGAATCCCCACCTGGTGATTCTGGTTCCTTATCCTAGAGAATTGATGCTTTAGAAGAATTAAAGGACTCAGGCAGAACTGTGTGTTAATTCTGAAAGGTACTCAGTAAACATTCACTGAGTACAGGACATAAAGGACTTAGCAAAGAAGTTTGTATGTTGTAGGCATCAAGAGGGTTCGGTTGTCAACGATGTTGATAGTTACAGTAAATTTTCTGTTATTGAGCTTTATCACTGACCCAATATTAAGTCGAGAACTTTCTGCTTGCCTCAGAATGGCCTTGGTCTGCATCAGGCTGACCTGTGAGGTAACAGAACACCCAGATTCATCAAGGACTTGAAAACCTAGTTAGAGAATTAAAGAGCTCATCTCTGTACTGGGGCTTTTGTCTCCTTCTGCCTGGAAAATTCCAGCTGCCCCAACTGTCTCACCTCCTTTATGACTTTACTCAGATCTTATTTCTGAGTCCTGTACGCTCCTCTCCCCTTTCCATAGCTGGTACTCCTGACCCATTTGTCTTGCTTTCCTCACCCCACCTCTTTTTTTTAATAATTTATATTTTAATATATTAAAGAATGTATTTGGGGTTTTTGTTTGTTTGTTTTTTTTACTTCTTTCACAATGTTCCTCAAGTTCTCTATGTTGATAGGGATCTTTTTCTTCCCCAACATATTTCCTGGTGCCCGGAGCAGTGCCTGGTACAGGATAGATATTTAGAAAGCATTTGTCAAATGAGTGAATGCTTTCCTATATAAAATTCAGTAATAAAGAATAGACACAGCAAATATTAGTCACTTGGTAAGAATTCTGGATAAGTAGTAAATATTTTTTTAATGAAAATTAAGGCCCCCCCCCACCTCTGTTAACCCTAACTCTGAAGATGTCTTCTAAATTGGCACATAGTTTAAAGTGTGGATCCAGAGTTGGAAGACATTTTAACAATCAAGTCTCTGAGTGAGGGGTTTTCTGCGGCAATTTACTAAATCACTTTATGCCTTAGGTTTTTTTTTTTTAAACTAACAAAGGTGTGGTATGGATTCATGAAATGTATTCAAACCCTTAGAATATACCCCAAATGTAGCAAGAGCTCAATTACCAAGCTAAATTTATAAGTGACTCATTTTCTTAAAAATAATTATGAAATTTCCTTTGCAGTTATATACTTACTTTGCAAAAAAGAAAATTAAATTAAATGGCCTAGTCAGTTTCCAGAAGGCAAAAAGCCACAGATTAAATGCACAATTTGTGCATTTTCCATGTGCTCATTTGTTTTACAGTGATAACACTCTTATAGTGATGCAAATATTGTAAAATCTCATTTTTTATGTTGTAACAGTTTCAATACAGAGTTTGGGAAAGTTGGAGAATTTCCCATGAGCCTTTGTTTCTGGTTTCTTCTAGATCCCCATATTAAGGTTTCTGGAAAGAAAGAAGATGTTAAAGAAGCCAAGGAAATGATCATGTCTGTCTTAGACACAAAAGTAAGTGAATATTAAGGACACTCAGATGTCAGAACCTTGTCTCTGCAAGGGCTGCTTCATGCCGTTATGAGAGAACCATGTGGAGAAGAAAACCAGGAGAAAGGAATGGTGGGTTTTAAAATAAACACATGTGATTCTACAGTGGATATAAAGTTCTGTTTAATATTTGAATAGGTTCACCATGCTGGGAAATTTAATAACATCTATAAATACCCATAACATATGTACACACTTACGTATGTGGATCAGTGTATGTGTGTGCATATGTACGTACGTTGATGCTGGTTAGTATAGTGTATGATAAACTTTGTAGGTAGCTAGGAGAGGTGGACCACACCTGTTATCACAGTGACTTGGGAAGCTGAGGCAGGAGGACCAGAAGTTCAAGGCCAGCCTTGGCAACTTAGACCCTATCTTAAAATAAAAAATTAAAAGTTCTGGAATGTAGTTCAGTAATAAAGTACCCATGGGTTCAGTCCCCATTCATTCCCCATAAAGAAAGAAAAATATTATAGGAGTAGTATCTTGGCCTTTACCATTCCACTAGGAAATCACAATGATTCTTCTTTGTAAAGCTGTGTATTTAGTGTGATAGCATGAAATTTGATGTCTGCGCTTGTGCAGGTGTGTTTTCTTTCTCCTGCAAGACACATATAGAGAGGTATCCAGGATATTGAAATACATGAACATTTGTACTCATCACATTACATGTCAGGTACTTTACTAAGCACTTTATATATTTTACAAATATTAGTTTCAGTTTCATAACTAACTTAGCACAGAGATAGTGGTTTGCACAAAATCCCCAAACTGGTAAGTGGAGAGGTGGGATTTGTATCCAGGCTACTGATTGTTTACCGAATTTTTTTTTTTTTTTTTTTTTTTTGCCACTTGGTATTTCATTTGTGTAGTCTCTGACCTGTTTTTCTTCTTTCTTTTGTTCTTACATTAAAAAAATACTTTTAAGAATTATCTACCTTGTAATTACTAAATATTTTAGAATAGTCTCCAAAAAAGTGGGATTTATTTACTGTGTTTCAAAGGTTAAACTGAAAGAATTAAGTTTAAAAATCAAAATAATTAATGGATATAGATTGAAAATTACCAATATTTTTAATGTCTTATTAGACTTCTTATTAAGGACTGTTCAGCCATAGTTTTGTAAATACAAATGGGTTTCATGTTGGTTTTTATAGTTTTACAACATCCATCTACCCAAAATTAAGTATATTAATTTCAGTATGACCATTATATATTTATTCTTCATGTCCTGGAATTTTACATTTTGTTTTAATATAATTAATCTACTCAGTGTTCATTTACTTAAACCATTTTGCTGTCACAGGTCTATGCTTTATGATTTCTTCCTCTCCTTTCTTTCCTCTTAGGAAGAGGAATAGATTTTACAAAGTTCAGCATACAGCAACATAGAAGTTGTGAAAACAAAACTATTACTCACAGTTTATTTCTAGTTTTTTGTTCTCTTGGTTTTTATATTCCTCTAACATGCATATCTTTAATCTTGTAATTATGTTTTCATCTATTTTTAGTTATCTGAATTAAATGTTTCATGAATAATGTCTTTGAAGAACAAATGAGTAATTTATCTATAATTGTAGCTGACTTTATGTCGGTTTCCCCCAAAAATTATCTTGGTAAAGAATATATCTGTCTATTCTGACAAATGTGTCTAAAAATGAAAAATTTTTTATTTAGCCAAAGAGAAATTGATGGATTGAGCATTTTAGATTGAGATGATTTTATTAAGGGATCTGTACTAGGTAACTTTTATTAATACCCAAAGCATCAAATCCCTGGTACCCCCCCCCCAAAAAAAAGGACAGTGTTTAGAGAGTAGTTGTTCCTTCCTTTTTCATGCATCAAGAAATAATACATTGTTTCCATGTAGAGCAATCGGGTCACATTGAAGATGGATGTTTCACATACAGAGCACTCACATGTGATTGGCAAAGGTGGCAACAATATCAAAAAAGTGATGGAAGAAACAGGGTGTCACATCCACTTTCCAGATTCCAACAGGAATAACCAAGCAGAGAAAAGCAACCAGGTGATTCATCTTCCCACGTGAACTTTTATGGAATGAATTTCAGCCTTCATTTTCAGTATGCATATCTTTTTTGAGAAATGAGAGCAAAAGATGTAACCCTGTAGATGATGTGCAATATAGATTGTAGAACCCCTGCAAAGAGACTGAAGGTGCTGTGTCTTTTAGAGGATGAATCACAGGTAGATCCTAAACTCTTGATCTCTAAATGGATGTAGAATCAGAGAAGGATTTGATGGTCATAAAATAGAGCCCGTAAGAAAAGGCTGAGAGAGCCTGTCAGTCAGGAGAGGGTGTAGAAGTTTGCCTAGTCCAGGACCTATCCATTCTCTGCAAAAATCCAGAAGTGGGTCCTCAGGGCTACTCATATCACCTTCTGAGAGAGAGTGCATGAGTGCTTCACTTATGAACACTGGCCAAATTATGTATCTATTAAGTTCATATGCACTTTTTGTGATTCTTCTGTTTGGAACTCACTTGTTCATATGTGAGCATTTTCAATACTCAAAGAACAGGTAGTGTAAATTGTGTTATATGGAAGCATTATCTTTTCTAAGCAAATTACAAGATTAGAAACTGTTAGCACCAATGGCAACAACGAATGTATCTATAAGGTACTAGATAATCAAAAGCCATGATAAAAGGCAAGCATATCATTCAAATTGTCTAACAGCTGCTATGACATAGTCATCGGCCCTTAGAGCTGGGTTGTGGAGCTCCTGTACTCTCACCCCAGTGCAAGACTAATGCTTTAGTTGATGGATCATGGGAAGGCTCGGGCATCCCAGGGGAAAGCAGGAAGAATTGTGTTGGACCAGCGATTATTTACCAGCTGGTATGGGAGAAGTTCAAATTTTGAGAACTTAGTGCGGCCATATCTGATATGTAAAGAGTTTAAACAAGAGGGAGAAAGATGCCACGGAGAAGAATTATTATAGAGATGGCCTCATGGGGGCCATGAAGATTTAGGTAAGTCCAAGGGATGATTTAGATCAGTTGACATACATCATCTGAGATCTCATTAAAATGCAAATTCTGTTAAGCAGATCTGGGTTGGGGCCTGAAATCTGTTATTTTTAATGAGCTCCCAACTAATGTTAATTCTCTTTGTCCCAGGATTACACTTTGAGTAACAAGGATGTGATAACTAGAAATGCAGATGTGAGTTTGGTTAAAATACATTAAACTATATTTTTTCTTTTGCAGGTATCTATAGCAGGACAACCAGCAGGAGTAGAATCTGCCAGAGTTAGAATTCGGGTAACTATATATTACTCTTTCATATGGTAAATCCATGTCAGCAACAGTTGCATTATAAGGCTTTAAAATATCAGACTTTACCATTTTATAACCAAATCATATTTTGTAAGTAGGAAATAGTGTCATAGTTGTTTTCATGTGCTTTATGGCATCTTCTACCTTATTTTTTACCGTAGATTGAAGTTCTTTGTTAACTCATAAAACTGTTTTCTATTGAAAATGTTTCTCCGAAATGTTTTGAATTCATCTGGCTCAGTTTCCCTTAGGATTTTTAAATGGTCCTATAGAGGCTTGAGGAAAAATCCACAGTTAGTGTGAGTCATAAGCTCTAAGGTTTCATAAAAGGTTTCTTCCATTTAAATATTGTATATAGTCAACCTAAGCTTATGTCTACCATCAAAGAAATTTATGTTTTTAAATCCATCTTCAGGAAAGAACAAAGGAATCATAATGCTTTAACTGTCTGCTTTGGGTTCTCATAATTTTGTTTTAGGAGCTGCTTCCTTTGGTGCTGATGTTTGAGTTACCAATTGCTGGAATTCTTCAACCAGTTCCCGATCCTAATTCCCCCTCTATTCAGCACATATCACAAACGTACAACATATCAGTATCATTTAAACAGCGTTCCCGAATGTATGGTGCTACTGTCATAGTACGAGGGTCTCAGAATAACACTAGTGCTGTGAAGGTAAATGACTTAGATTATTCTCGTTATTATAAAATTATAAATCATGCAAGTTTTATTTTTAAAGGATATAAGACTAATTTGTTTTCCAGAATTTTCCTTTGTGTTACATTTGGATTTATAGAATGTGCTATATTTTTCCATAGCTGATAGAAGTGCAGTAGGCTCTTATCCTACACGTGGGCAGCTATGTTTTATATGATAATTTCCCTCCCATCCTTTCTACCAGGAAGGAACTGCCATGCTGTTAGAACATCTTGCTGGGAGCTTAGCATCCGCTATTCCTGTGAGCACGCAATTAGACATTGCAGCCCAACATCATCTCTTTATGATGGGTCGAAATGGGAGCAACATCAAACATATCATGCAGAGAACGGGTGCTCAAATCCACTTTCCTGATCCCAGTAATCCACAGAAGAAATCCACTGTCTACCTCCAGGGCACCATTGAGTCTGTCTGTCTTGCAAGGCAATATCTCATGGTAAGGTTCCTGAAATTAGTGTTGTAATTTTTTATTTAATTTCTTTGGATACAAGGTTTGTTGTTGTACTACTTACTCTGCTAATTTGATGTTTAAGAAAGGACTTTGGAAGGCTGGTCAAATAGAATAGTTTCTTGGTAAAAGGAATTAAAGAATAAGGTTCATGTCTCCTCAGTAGGCTCAATTTCATTATGTAGGTGATTTTCTTGCAGTGTTATTTTTATCTTAGTCTGAACACAGAAAAGATCACAATGAAATAATTGATTATGTTTTATGGCATAGATGGTTGATGGTTATTTTGTGACATGTAGTTCTGGTACACCTTTTCACTTGACAAGAATTTCTTCTGTTGAAGCAGAAAAATAAAAATACTATTTAAGTTTCATCCTCAAAGACACCATGTTTGGAAACCTGGCACCTTTGTACATTTTATAAATTTCTGATGTAAATACAATTAATTTAAGCCATAAATTTTAGTGTTACTTATTGAAGAAAAACAACAGAGCTATATTAATTCATACTGCTTCTGATTTGTAATTTACAGTATTTCCCTTCTTATGTAGGTTAATGTTTAGTAACAAAATGGATGAATACAATATCCTTGTTAACATCTGCACTGCTTTCTCTTGTTCATTGCTCAGCATTTAGTGATATTTGAATTAGTAAGCATTAGGTGACCTTTGCTGCTATTAACTTGCTGAATTCATTTTTGAGAGACTTTCAGAAAATCCAGATTTGTATTGTTGACTCCATTCCTCTGACAGATGAAAACTTGTTATATAATCAATTAGGATTATAATGTACTTTAAGAAATTTATGTTTTTAAATATATTTTTGGACAAGTTTGTTTTATCAGCTAATTTTTAATATATTACTCATCAGGTAGCATATTCATATCCAAAAATTGTTATCATTACTCTTCAAATTTTCTTCTTTTCAAGTTCTCTAGATGTTTTTTTTTTTTTTAGTTCAGTGAAAGTTTTCAAGCATTCTATGCGGTTATGATTCACATTCATACTTCAGTCACACCTATGATTGCACAAGATTGGAAGAAGGGAGGGAAAAATTAAAAAGGTTTACCTGTATTTTAGTTACCTTTTTATTTAGTACCATCCTGAAAAATACTTTTATCCATGAGCAAAAAGTTTAAAATTTGTTTCAATTAGTTATACATGCATTTTGACACATCATACATAAATGGAGTATAACTTCTCATTCTTCTGGTTGTACATGATGTGGAATTACACTGGTCATGTAGTCACATATGCACATAGGGTAATAATGTCCAATTCATTCTACTATCTTTCCTATCCCCATACACCCTCCCCTTTCTTCACTCCCCTCTGCCTAATCCAAAATACCTCTGTTCTTCCCTAGCCACCCCTATCCCCATCTTATTGTGAATTAGCATCTGTGTATCAGAGAAAACATTTCGTCTTTGGTTTTATGGGAGTGGCTTATTTCACTTAGCGTAATATTCTCTAGCAATATTTACCCTGCAAATGCCATCATTTAATTCCTCTTTAAGCCTAAGTAATATTCCATTGTTTATATGCCACATTTTCTTTGTTGATCTGTTGAAGGGCATCTAGGTTGGTTCCACAGTTTGGCTATTATGATTGAGCTGCTATGAACATTGATGTGTCTGTGTTACTGTAGTATGCTGGTTTTAAGTCTTTGGGGTATAAATTGAGGAATGGGATAGCTGGGTCAAATGGTGGTTCCATTCCAAGTTTTCTAAGGAATCCCCATATTGATTTCCATAATGGTTGCACCAATGTTCAGTCCCACCAGCAGTGTATGAGTGAGACTTTTTCTCCACATCCTCACCAACATTTTTCTCGATAATTGCCATTCTGACTGAGTGAGATGAAATCTCAGTGTAGTTTTTATTTGCATTTTTCTAATTGCTCAAGATGTTGAACATTTTTTTCATATATTTGTTGATAGATTGTATTTCTTCTTCTTTAAAGTGTCTATTCAATTCCTTAGCCCATTTATTGATTGAGTTACTTGTTTTCTTGGTGTTAAGTATTTTTAGTTCTTTATGTAATCTGGAGATTAATTCTCTGAGTTGCATGTGGTAAAAATTTTCTTTAATCCTCTACATTTAACATTAGCTTCTCCTGGTACATGTGTACCAAATCCTGTAACCAGCAGGCTAGCGCTGAATGGTAACCTGCACATCAGAAAACAAAGGTTGCCTAGTTCCTATACTCCTTAGATTAGGGGCCAAAAGGAAAGCATCAGAGGACAAGAAGTCTAAATAAAACTGCAGTGCTAAGTTGGGAACTGTTGAAGGAGGAACAGCAGTTACAGTTCACTACAGGAAGGAGACAGGCAAGTAGCTGTAGCAGAAGGCAAGTAGGACTTGGTTGGTAAAGAATCCTCTGATTCCAGCAGCTTGGGAGGCTGAGGCAGGAGAATTACAAGTTTAAAGCCAGCTTCTACAAAAGTGAGGTGCTAAGCAACTCAGTGAGACCCTGTCTCTAAATAGAATACAAAATAGGGCTGGGGATGGGGCTCAGTGGTTGAGTGCTCCTGAGTTCCATCCCCAACCCCCTAACCTTCTCCCCCCCCCCCAAAAAAAAAGAAGCATCCTCTGATGAGTTAAGATTCCAAAACAAAGGATCTGTTGAAGGGATAATGACGAACTACCCTGGCCTGGAGAAAGGGGCAGACCTTGAGGCAGGACATGCAAGGCCAGACTCAAAACGTGGGGCTCTTTAAGTGCCAGTGCTTGTTTAGCTTTCAGGATGCAGTAGGGTATATATGTGTATTAAGAATTGTAATGTATGAAGAAATGAATTGTGTGAACATACTTTACATGCAATGATATGAAAAATTGTGCTCTGTATGTATAATAAGAATTGTAATGCATTCTGCTGTCGTGTATTTAAAAAATAAAATCAGGCTGGGGATGTGGCTCAAGCGGTAGTGTGCTCACCTGGCATGCGCAGGGCGCTGGGTTCGATCCTCAGCACCACATACAAATAAAAAAAAAAAGACACCACTTTTATGTTGTTGAGCCAAGACATAAGATTAGTACCCTTGATGTGGCTAAGAATCTCATTTCTGCCTCCCCAACAAATCTAAAGTCAGAGAATGAAGGAATTTTCCAAAGTGGAGAGTGGGTAAAAAATAAATAAATAAAAATAAAAAAATTCAGGGCCCAAATCAGGAACTTAAGGTATATAATTTTGTAATCCAAAAAATAATTTCCTCCCCCTCAACATTATTCCCACACTAGCCCTCCAAACTATGTGAAGATATATAATTTAGAGTTATACTTTGGTTTATTCTTTAAATCTATAAAATATTGCATTCTTTGTAGGCATGTTGAATAATCAGGTTTTGAAATTATTAACTCCTACACATTCTGTTTTGACATTTTCTAGGGTTGTCTTCCTCTTGTGCTGATGTTTGATATGAAGGAAGAAATTGAAGTAGACCCACAGTTCATTGCTCAGTTGATGGAACAGCTTGATGTCTTTATCAGCATTAAACCAAAGCCAAAGCAGCCTAGCAAGGTTGGTTCAGTCTGGATCCAGGGAGTCATTCTGTATAGTTTTATTTTGCATACAAGTGTGTATTTAAATTTACATGGAACTAATACTCTCATATGTGTTATTATCTACGTAGTGATAACAATATTGATTTTTAACACCATTATTGGTCATTATTTTCTGTATGTATTTGTTGGTTTTTATAGTCCATTTTTTGTAACCATTGTTTTTCTATAAATACATGTGAAGGAAAGAGAAAACCCTTAGCTTGCAATCTGGTAACTTTAAAGCTTTACATAGTTGCCATAGTTGGTTAGACTGTGTGTGTGTGTGTATGCACGCGCGTGCCTGTACATATCCAAAGCAATTAAAAATAAGAGCATTTATTATATGCCAGCCACAGTGCCAGCCCTAACAATTTAAAGAACACTTGCCATTCTTTTTAATAAAGACTTTAACAAGATCTTTAGCCTTCTTGTAACCTTTTCTCTAAGATGTTGCAAAAACTCTGTAATTTCATATAAGGTAAAAATTTAATGAAAAAAATGTTACACTTAAGTGCTAGTGAAAATGTGAGGAAACACCAATGTTCCTACATTAATGTGAAAATTAGCAGAGCCATTTGCAGAACAATTTGAGACCACCTGATCATACTCAGAATACTGATTCCTACTTGCAGCCATTGTACCTCTAGTTGCACACACTGAAGACACATTTACACCGAGGTCAAATAAAATGATGCTGATTGAAAAAAAAATCACAAATTGCATGACAGCATGTACTAAATGGTACATGGTTCTTGCATGAATGTGCATGTATTATTTTCTAAAGTGCAAAGCATCACCTGGAAGGGTCACAGCAAATTCACAATGAGATGCCTTTGGACTAGGAGCTAGAAGAATGGAATTATGAAACAAGGGGAAGGAATGCTGTGCTCAGTTTCATCAGTCAGAAACAAATAAGTGCTAAATACAGAGATGCTGTATCAAGTTTGGTTTTCTATATTTTAAAGAAATATCCTGATAAAAGGATTTATAAAATGTAACTGTGTTAAGTTTATGGAAAGTTTAGAAAAAAAAATTTAATTCCTGAACTGAATTGAGTTCCCTAACTTACTATAGTAGATAACACCAAATGGTTGTGCCTTCCAGTTTTTAATTTCTAAACTGTAAACATTATCATATATGTATAATTGTTTGTATATAATATATATTGTGTAATTTTGTATATGTAAATACTATAATATTTATTATCCAACTGAAGAAAAATAATCATACCTTCTTCAAAAGAAAACTTTAGAGAAAAAGCCCTGATTCTAAGAGAATTTGATATAGTGAGTTATCTAAATTTGTTATCTAAATTTATCTAATTTGACATTTAGATAACAGGACATTAATTTTATGTATTGTGAAGCTTCATGCTTGACTGATCTGAGTTAACTAGAATTAGTAGAGCTACCAGGACTAACAGGTAAAGGCTTGAAGAGCTATTCAAGGATGTGTGCTTATAAAGATGGATAGGCACAAGAATTCCAGGAGTTCAGGAAGAAATGGGCAGGTATCAGGGAAAAACAGATTGCCAATCAGAACTTGGAAACCTTACAGCATCCCCTGGCCATTTAATTTCACCTGCCTGGCCTGACTCCAGCCACTGCTTTAACTACTTTCTTAGCCACAAATTTTCTTTACTCTCTGTTGGAACCTTTCCCCTTTGGGTTCACATTTCCAATTTTCTAGATGAGTCCATTGAGGGGGAAGAAAGATTTGTAATTTTCTTTTACCGTGAGCTCAGTGAGGGGGAGTGGTACCTCAAGGTCAGTCAACTAATCGACTATAAATATCAGATATTATAAGTGACTGTGGTTATGCAGTCTGTATGTTGTGACAAGTTGGACTTGGTTTGTAAAGATAAGGTAAAGCCGGGAGAGCTTTAAGGTAAAGAAGAGAGACTGTGGAGAGGGTCTGGAGTTCTAGTCCTCTTGCTGTCCTCTGCAGCTGTGCCATGACCTTCACCAATTCACTTAACACACTGAATGTGAACAATGATCCCACCTCATAAGGTTTTGGTGAGAACTGGAACATTTGTGCAGCTTCCATCAGTGCCTGGAACACAGGACACATGCAATAAAGGGTAACTAACATTTTTAGCTTTACCAAAAATTAAGAAATGAGTGTTTAGGATTTGCAGTTGATTTTAAAGTGGCATGAACATATCCCCTGAGTGGAATTATTAGCATACTCACTTTCCACCTACCCTTCCCCCATTCATTGTAGACTTCTTGCATGTCACTTTTTTTTCCCCCATTATGTGTTTTCATAGTCTGTGATTGTGAAAAGTGTTGAGCGAAATGCCTTAAATATGTATGAAGCAAGGAAATGTCTCCTCGGACTTGAAAGCAGTGGGGTTACCATAGCAACCAGTTCATCCCCAGCATCGTGCCCTGCCGGCCTGGCATGTCCCAGCCTGGATATCTTAGCTTCAGCAGGCCTCGGACTCACTGGACTAGGTATAAAATTTATTATTACAGTGCTTCTCAGTCACTGGGGAAATGCTTATCTGGTTCCCTTTCTTTCTACCATTTGGGTTTACATTGAAATGCTGTTTTTAATTTCTTCTTCTTTAGGCCCTAAGACCAGGTGAAAAGTAACAAAACTCAAATCGGACTGTTTTGGGGTTTTTGTTGTTGTTGTTATTGGTAGGATCTGGGGATTGTGGTTACCCAGATTCTTCCTATGTTGGCATAAATAATCAAGGTCTGACTTTTATTTTCAGTGACTGTTTGTTCTTCTAAATTAAGAATGCTATTGAGATTGAAGTGAGCAGGCTCACTATAATTTATGTGTTTGTTCTCTCTTGCATTTGTAATATTGCCATCAGTCCCTAGAGATAAAGATTATCCAGTTTGGTTTTGAAAAAGTAATTGCAAATCTGTATGAGAGGTGGGGAAAGTAGAAGGAGAAAGCAATCAGAGCTGTACCCACGGTAGTTAGGCCTGCCAAGCCAGACACAAAGGGATCCTAGCCACCAAGGGCTGCAAATGGACCTGTATCTACAGCAAGCAATAGAAAAGGAAAACAATGAACAATGAACAATCTCTGTTGGTGCTTTGGTTCATTAAGAAAGCAGGGTGAGCCACCTAATCGTCATAGTGGTACTTATGGCCTCATCTGTGGATTGCAATCTTACAGGCTGACTTTAGTTGCTCCATTATAGTTATGCTAGGTTCACTGCTTTCTTGCACATTTCTCAGTTGTCTTTATATGAAAAGCTAGTACAGTAACCCTAGTAAATCATTCCATTCAGTGCTGATTTGAGGCAGAAAAAACATTCTCAGCAATCTTTAAAATATTTTTCTAATACTTGTTTTTGCATTTAAAATATGTAATCTGATAATAATATGATTATGAATCCAAGGAACCATTCTTAGACATCATTAAAAATAAAGAGGGTTTTTTCCCTTTGTCTCTCACCTGCCAAAGTTATTCCTTCCACAGGGACCTGAACAGTCATAATAACATAGCAATGCCTATGAACCAGGAAGTGCCAGTCAGGTAACTTAGCAGGAACCAAATTTATCCTACACTAGTGAGAAGGCGAGCAAAGAACAGAGTTACTGAATTTTAAAAATGTATTCATGGCTATACCCATTCTGTAATACTTCTGCTTTATATGTATTCCTAGAAACGTACACAAATGCATATTTTATTTTTGAACACATTTCAAATAACAGAAGCAAAACCTCATTTATTTAATCAAGTATCAAATTCTTAAAACAAAAACAAAAAATTTTTTTTCCAAGGAAAGGTTTCATTATTGGGATGACACTGAAAGAAGTCATGATCATGTATATGTTCTGACATACACATAAGACCTGTTCAGGTAGCTCTCTGCCTATCTACAAAGGTGCCAAGTGAACCCATTCTACCACAGGAAAGCTTTCCCCAGTTACTGCTAACTATGAGTGCTTTGAAAAGCATTTGTTTGGAAGCAGATGACAAGTGAGGTATGCAGAGAAATAAAAATGCATCCCCACTGTTCATCCTCACTGGCTGATAAAAACGGAAAGCCCCTGGTGGTGCTCAGTGAACCTGACTGCTGTCCTGGTTTGGGCATATCTGTCTTCCTTTTTCTGCCAGCATCTATTTGTGGGTTAGCCAGTTTCTGTGTTGGAGCTGTGTAAAGAAATATTTCATGTAGATATTTGAAAGAAAATCCATCACCCATATTTTGTATTTAGAAAATATCAGATTATATTGATGTGCATTCCAGATGGCAACATGGGTGCTATCTTTATTGGGAAATCTTGAATTCATGTGTATTAACTTTACATTCATTTATTGCAGGTCTTCTGGGGCCAACCGCCTTATCACTAAACACTTCAACAAACCCGAACTCACTCCTGAATGCTCTTAATAGCTCAGTGAGTCCCTTGCAAAGTCCAAGTTCTGGCACGCCCAGCCCCACGTTATGGGCACCCCCACTTGCTAATACTTCAAGTGCCACAGGTCAGTATCATACAAGTGTAATCAAAGGCATGTATTCTTAGGTGTTATCAGTTTTGAAATAAAATTTACAAATGATTCAGTTTCTGTAGGGAAAAACTATGGTTCAGACTCCACTCCAACAAAACAGGAATTCCCTGATGTGTAAATTAGTTCAAATGAAACACAACAAAGCAATGAGTTTTTGATAAAAAATAAAATGTAATTTTTCAAATGGGATAAGCAAATTAGGGAAAAGGGCTTGATGTTCAGGGAGCAGTGATCAAGGCACGGAGGCACAGCCAGGCTGACAATCTGGTGATTGGAAAACAGGCTTTGTGCTCCCTTATTTCCTCATTTGTATAGAGAGCGGCTTGGAATAAACATTCTCAAAGGTGTTGCTTTACTTTAACATTCTTGTATGTTTTCACAGTAGTGTTAAATCTATAGAGAGATTAACATAGGATTATCTTCTAAATTGTCAGCAAAAAAAATATTTAATTATTGTTACTGAAAATAGCAGTAGTTCGTGAATTTTTTTCTTATCTAAAATCTGTCTTCATGTAATGTTACCATAGGTTTCTCTGCCATACCACACCTTATGATCCCATCTACCGCGCAAGCCACATTAACCAATATTTTATTGTCTGGAGTGCCCACCTATGGGCACACAGCTCCATCACCCCCTCCTGGCTTGACTCCTGTTGATGTTCATATCAACAGTATGCAGACAGAAGGCAAAAAAATCACTGCTTCTTTAAATGGACATGCACAGGTAATGCCCTTCTGCTTCAGTGGTATCATTTGCACTGTTTTAAGAGAAAATTGCTTGTAACATGCTTTAGTCTTTACCTAAAATGATTTTTAAATTGTAAATTCATGACCTTATCTGTGTATTATTTTCTATTATTTCAGTCTCCAAATATAAAATATGGTGCAATATCAACTTCATCACTTGGAGAAAAAGTGCTAAGTGGGAATCATGGCGATCCATCCATCCAGACAACTGGGTCTGAGCAGGCTTCTCCAAAATCAAATCCTTCAGAAGGTCAGGAACTGTAACTTTTCTCCTGAATGTCAGTCTGGTTTGTGACTCTGATAAAGGGGATTGTGGAGAATCTGTGCAGTAATTTAGAATTGGTTTTGCCAACCAACTGTGACTCACCTTCGCTATGTGCAGAGGGAATATCTTGAACGAATTGCCAATGAGCATGGTGAGAAGTTTACAGAAAACTACTTTCTACAGGAATATCACTTTCCCCTTACATTGGACCTTCCTAAGTTAATTCACCTGTGTAACAAGAAAGCATCAACAAACTAAACGCTTTTATAGAAATATATCTCCCTCACGTTGGAGTGTCTTCTTGTAGCTCCCTTACCCTGTTAACACTCTTTTAAAAATATTTTTAAGTTGAGTTTTTGTGAAGCCAGAATTTGTTGAGGCATCCTCTATTCAGCTGAGAACCTGTATGCCTTTATCAGGCTAACAATGTCTCTGTAGAATTAGGTTCTGATTTTTTTCCCATTGCAGATAATAGTGAACCGTAATGTGATGTTGTTTAGATTTCTCACTTTTTTCTTCTGCCCTGCAGGTTGTAATGATGCTTTTGTGGAAGTAGGCATGCCTCGAAGTCCTTCCCATTCTGGAAATGCTGGTGACTTAAAACAGATGATGGGTCACTCCAAGGTTTCCTGTGCCAAGAGGCAGACAGTAGAGCTATTGCAAGGCACGAAAAACTCACACTTACAGTATGTATTTTAATCTTAAAAGCCCTTGATTCTGTGAAAGATAATGTATAGCAGACTGAACTTGTTTTAAACTTGATGGTTAGCACTCTGGTTCAGATCAGGTTGGGTCTTTTTTCATTGCTCTTCATAATAATCATTTCAATTTTTTTTTTGGGAGGGGGCCCTGGGGTTTGAACCCTGGGCCTTGTGCATGCTAGTCAAGTGCTCTGCCACCCTAAGCCATATCCCTTGTGCTTTTAAGGGGTAATATCTGGGAATTTTTTATGCTTGCCCATGTTCTTTATAATTTCCTCTCCATATAGTCAGTTGGGTGTATATATGTCCTCTAAACCACCTATATTGCTCAGAAACTAATAATATTTCTGCTTTTTAGTAATCACTTGGGACAGTTTTTTTCCTCCTTGATTTTTGGTGTTAGAGGTTTTCCGACAGTTAACTCCGACAGTTAACTCCCTTTCAGTAGGGAGTTCTTTCTTAAGCTGTGGCTCCCCTTGTCCAAGGTAATCAGTGGAACTTTTCCGTAAGTGCTTCACAGTATCATGAATCAGGACAAGTCACATTGAGTACAAATGCATGAATTGTGTTGACTGTGAAGTTCCCTGACCATGGCATAGATGCCAGTGTACCATCTTTGCTCCATTTCCTTTGTCCGTGGTCTATTTCCTTTTTCCTTGGTGTATTTCTATTTTTCTGTTTATCTCCTTTCTTTTGTTCTCCCACCCATCCCCATCCAATTGATTTCCTCTACTGCCTCCTTAGTTCCTTATGTATTTTTATGCAAAGATTAGCATAATAGTTTTTAATTCCATCCTCTCTTACTAAAAACCATTTTGCTCTGTGAACTCTGGTCTCAATTTACCCAACTATGTTTTATCTGTTTTTCTTTTAATAAACCAAGTTAATATTCTTCAATATAGGTCAGAAAAACGATTTTGCTTTCTTTTTCGATTGAAGCAGTTGAAGCATATGTTTATTCCTTTCATCACTGACTGTGTTCTGCACCTTCTTTTCATCTCCCATCTGGATTAAGCTGCGTCCTCCAGAATTGTCTCCCTCTACTCATCTCTCATCAGTTTCATCTATCTTTGATTTTGCTCTAGTAATTTTTTTTTTAATCTAAATCTTAACACATTGTGATTGTGGCTTACAGAGCCTCTGTGGTCTGCAGTGCCTGTTTCCTTTCCTTATGCTCTTCCCTCCCAGTGGTGCTTTCTCCTGACCTTTGACACCAGTGATCTTGCAATGCCCTTAATTCCCAGTTCAAATGTCCTCTGTGAAGCTTCTGTCAACTTTTGTCGAGCAAAGTTCATGGTTCTTCCTTTTGAACTTCAATCACCCTTTCTAAATCCCTCTAAATTCCCTTGGCACAACTGAATAGTTGAATGAATAAAACTCTGAAGACATGATGAGCAAATCGGTTCTTTGATTGATCCCTATTTTATTTGAGACTAATGGTGCACTTGGATTTGAACTTGAGGTTCATGTACTCTACATTATCATGTGTTGTATTTCAGCTGTTGCCCGCTATAAGAAGCATTTTCATGCTCTACCTATACCCCTAATTAGGTATTGTAAAATATTTCTTATTTATCTGCTACCCCTATTTGTTACCAGTGTCATAGGCACTATACACACAAATGATGTCAGATTTATTCATCTCTGTTTAGGCTTTGTACATGTGAGTCGTTGATATCTCCTTGATGTGTAAACATGAGAAATCTTGTCTTATGTCTATTTTCTCTCTACCATATGTTGTAGAGCATAGATATGACATAGAATGTGTGTATTATGAAACAGTTTAAGCTCTAGTTCTAGAGTCAGAGTGCCCGAATGAATTCATATTCCAACTCTACCATTTACATTGGAGGTGTGACCTTGAACAAGGTACTTCCCTTATCTGTTAAATGAGAATGACAATAGAACTTACATCACAGCATCCTTGTGAAGATTAGATGAGTTAATACGTGTAAATAGTCGATGAAGGTAAATATGCCCAGTAAATGTGGCACCTAGGAAGTACTGCAGTACATCTGTCTGTATGGTAGAGTGCTAAATTGCAAACTCTTTTCACAGCAGCACTGACAGGTTGCTCTCAGACCCTGAACTGAGTGCTGCAGAAAGCCCTGTGGCTGATAAGAAGGCTCCAGGAAGTGAACGTGCAGCAGAGAGGGCAGCAGCTGCCCAGCAAAACTCTGAAAGGGCCCGCCTTGCCCCACGTCCATCATACATCAACATGCAGGTAATGGAGAAAAGCAGAAAAGTCATTCAAATGCAGGGTGCCGAGGTGAGGGCAGGAAGAATTCACTGAGTGTTTAGCAGTGAGTAGTACAGAAACTGGCTTTTCCTTCTCTGCTCTGGTCAAAGTGAAATTTAAATATATGTCTAATACATAGGAATTGGTTTTACTATTAACATTAACCATGAAACAGGATTTAGCTCAAGTGAGAAGAATTCTTTAAAATATAATATTAAAATGGCATAAAATGATTTGTGTCGCTGTGCCTTATGCAAATAACATCATTCATCTGTGTTTTAGAAAAAATTTAGATGAATGCAAGAGATGTATTTTCAAATATTACCATATCATGACATTGTTTTGGATACACAGATCCAATATTCTTCCATCTGTGAAAATGGAGATGGTAAATTTGGTACCATTTTGAGATGGTTATGAAAATAACTAATGTAAAATTTTGTTTTGTTTTATTTTGGGTACCAGGGTTTGAACTCGGGGGCACTCAACCACTGAGCTCCATCCCCAGCCCTATTTTGTATTTTATTTAGAGACAGAGTCTCACTGAGTTGCTTAGCACCTCGATTTTGCCGAGATTGGCTTTGAACTTATGATCCTCCTGCCTCGGCCTCCCAAGCCGCTGGGATTATAGGTCTGTGCCATCATGCCTAGCCTATTGTGAAGTTTTAAGTTCCTTTAAAGTAGATTCTGATATTATTGATGATTGTGTTGGTTCACAACTTTTCTTTTGGTACCAGGGTATTGAACCCAGAGGCACTTAACCACTGAACCACATCCCCAGCCCTTTTTATTTTTTATTTTGAGACAGGGTCTCAGTAAATTGCTTAGGGCCTCACTGAGTTGCTGAGGCTAGCTTTGACTTTGCTAATTTCCTGCTTCAGCCTTCCTGGAATTACAGGTGTTTGCCACCATACCCAGCTGGTTCACAGATTTTTATGTTTAAAGCAACTTCCTCAACAGGACTTTTCTCTATATTCATTTTCAAAGATTTAGGTTAGTTACTCAAAATAGATAACTGACCATGAAATTTAGAAATCTGATTTCCATATAGATCACAATATGAAAGACAATGATTTATTTTTCCTGTGGGCTTTTAAAAATTTCTATAAATATTCTAGTTTTCAGTATCAGTTATTGGGTAGACTCACTTCATAGTAGGGATTTGTCTCACTCAATCCCCCCACCTCCATAAAAAGATGAAAATCTTTTTTTTACAAAATCCTAGAAACAGAAACACTGCCATAGATATACATGTAAGAGAAATTAACTCAGTTACAGAAACTAAGTTACAGTACAGTGTCCCAGAGTGAGCTCTAATTTAGTCCTCCTCATTTTTTTTAATCCTTTGAATTTGAACATTTTCATGAATTTGTAGGTGACTAATATAAAAATCCATGGCCTTCATAATGTGTCAGTGTTTTTTAAAAAAGGCATTTACCTCACTTTGTGTGGTGAATTTATTTTTGGTTAGCCTAGATTAAAATTCTCCCATTTGAGAAGTATCAATTTCCCTTTATCATTCCTTTGTGTTTTTTGTTTATATTGTGGTTCTTCTTTGCTATCAGTTTTATATCTCAGTAGGCCAATTTTATGGCTGTTTCTTTTAGAATGGATGAGAGGGTTGTTCTTGGTGACATCATTTCCACTTAAATAGAATAGATGCACTTATGCCATTAGTGAATAGCTGATTCTCAAATCACTAGAAAATCAGTGATAATAGTCACTGAGCATTGATAGAAGAAAGATCGAAGACGTCGTCCCTGTTCTCTGTGACTAAAGATATATCCGTCTCCTGACGACTACTCTTGAGTGCCATGTTGCTAGCTCTCTCTTCACACTTACCGTATTTTCCAATTTTTTTACAGTTATTCCTCTTACTCAACCCTCCTAAGACTGTGGGTTATTTTGGATTTATTATTCTTCTATAAAGCTCAGGACACTGTCTTTAACCACTAGATATTCAGGATTCATTAAACAAGTGAATTTAGGTCTTTACTATACCTTGCCCTTGGATATTAATAATTAAAAAGGTGATTTTAGACTCCTTGTGCCATTTTAGAACTAGCATTTAAAAAATGCCATCATAGTGTTATCTAAAAATCTGCCTCTCCTGATTTATTGTCATCTTCTTAAAATTCCAACACCTTCATACTGTTTGTTTGGAACAGCCTGTTGACTTCGGTCACCCTGGCCTCAGTATTGTTCAGAGCACATTTCACTCTCAGAAGCATCCTGGTTCAGACCGTGAATTACATGGACACCTACCATGACACAGTCTTCCTGGGAGAAGAGTCAAAGTGCTCCTGCCATTTGGTTCTTGATCTTTCTGGTGGTGGGCCTTTGAGAACCTGTAAATCAAGTCTTAGCAAGTTCTTAATTTGGGGAGTTGAGAACACTAGGTTGGCATTTGAGATGTACCTCTATCTGTACTACTGTCCTTGGAAAGACCTGTCTTGGTCTCTGCATAGATCTGATTCCATCACAGTGACTCATTCAATGTTAGTGGAGTGCATGTATGGTACCTTCCTAGTCCTGCACCCCCAAAACAAAACAAAGAACCAAAACAGTAACTAGGTTAAATTAGTTAACGTTATATATTACCATTATTAGACTGTAATGGTTATAGACCATTTTCATTCACCTCACTTCAAAAGCAAAGACTATGCCATTTAGGTTAATAACTTCTTAAGTTGTATTGACATCACACCACCTCAGATCATACTTACCTAGATAAAGAGGGGATTTTGAAATAGAAAGGAGGACAGTAGGTACCCGATAGCGTTTTGGTAATGTGTTAATCGGAAACTTAGCAAAATTGATACTAGGTTATTCATGATAGTTATTCATGATAGTTATTCATGATAGTGGTCCTCGTGTGCTAGATATTCTTAGTGAATAGAATTTTTTTTCTTTTTCAAGGAAAAATTCTACCTCTGTCACTGCTATGACTTCAAGTAAAAAATGGTAATTTGTTACTCTAACTAGTTAGTTTTGAACAGCATGTTTAGATTTATCATGCCTGCATTGATTTCTGTCATCCCATGGTGCAGAGCTTAGCATATGTTTTAGGGGATATAGTCAAAACCTTTTCTGTGTAACCATAGAGTGTTTGCATGGCATTTGGAGAAATTGGTAATAAAAACATTTTCTCTGCTTCATTTTTAGGCATTTGATTATGAACAAAAGAAGCTATTAGCAACCAAAGGTAAGTGATGTACTAATGATTTGTACTTTGATTGTTTTTTAGTATGCTAAGTAAACAGTTTTTCAAAATTCATGGTGAATTGAGAAACTGGTCACTCATAAAAAGAAACCCAAAATGTTTGGGGTCAAGTTGTTTAAATTCTGTTGAACTTGAATATATTTTCTTGAATATATTACCATTTCATCATTAGAAGTTGTGTAGCCTCCCCCCTTTTTTCATTTATCATAACTTTGGGTGTTATGTTTTATTAAGGTATTTTAGGCATTTATATTTTTGTTAAGAAATAAACATTCAGGGACTGGGGTTGTGGCTCAGTGGTAGAGTCCTCGCCTAGCATACAGGAGGCACTGGGTTCAAACCTCAGCACCACATGAAAATGAAATAAAGATATTGTGTCCATCTACAACTAAGAATAAAAAATATTAAAAAAGAAAGAAACATGCAGTTATCATTCCTTCAACATATCAAAGAAACAAAGCTCAACATTCAGATTTTATTTAAGAAATACATTAAATAAACTAGGGCTGGGGATATAGTTGGTAGAGTGCTTGCCTTGTATGCACAAGACCCTAGGTTCAATCCCCAGCACCACACACACACACACACACACACAAAAAAAAAACCTCACTGAGAATTTGTCTTCTATTCTGTTTTCTAAAGCTATGTTAAAGAAACCAGTGGTGACAGAGGTCAGAACACCTACAAATACCTGGAGTGGCCTAGGGTTTTCTAAATCCATGCCGGCTGAAACTATCAAGGAGCTGAGAAGAGCCAACCATGTGTCCTATAAGCCCACAATGACGACCACGTATGAGGTTTGTAGTCAAGCTCTGCCCATTGTGCCTGTCTGCTCTCAGCAGAAGGGGTTGGTCCTCCCCTCCCTGTGTTTTTTATGGACATCAGGAAAAACTATTAATGGCCATGTGTTTTTATTTCTATCTTATAAATGTATTGTTATAAAATTGATGCATTCCTACATATTATGGTTTTTATCTGCCTTCTCTCAAAGTTGTTGATACTCTATTAATGGAGATGTAAATTTGGTTAAGTGTGTTTTTGTTGGGGGAGAGGTATCATAAGTGACTGTAGTCCTAAGATGAAGTAAAGGGCAGATGTAATATTCCATAAAAATATATAAAGAGGCCTTTTGTCTAAGAGTATCACTAGCAAGGCCACCATAGAGGGAAAAGGCAAATATTCAACCAAAACAGGTTTTCAGATATGAGTTAAAAATTCTCTGTTCAGATGAGCCAAGAACACAGCAGGAAATATCTCAAACAAGAGCTCCAAAATTTTTATGCTTCCCAGATGTTGGCTGCACTACTCCGGGTGAGACCAGGAAGCTGGCATTCCTAGCATGTGGAGGAGGGTCCAGAGTTCCATACTCCTCAGCCAGGCTTCATGTGACTCACTACGCAGGCCTTTTCTCTTTACGAGTGTCAGGTTTTGGCATGAGGCTTTGGGCATGGGAGTGGGGCTGGAGAGTGAGCACCCACAATACACACATGATACTGGGGGGCTGCAAACCCAAACGTGGATGAAAGTGATTAATCCAAGAAACATGGTGTTCAGCTGGAGCCCTGCACAAGGAAAAACAAATACTGGTTAACGGTTTCATAATTGTTAGTCTAATAACTAGCACTTGTAGATTGCCCTTCTTTTCTCCACCCATTTTCTTTGTAATAAATTAGACTGTTGGCGAAAGGCAAAAAAAGCAAACATGCTGTTTTATTATTTTTCTCTTTGAGTAAGTCAAAAAGAAAATACTATTGAAATTCTAAAAAGAATTGTTTCCTGTGAACTTCATTGTTAGCGCTGCAGTAGCCACATGGAGGACTGTATTTAAAGACTGAGGTGACCTTCAGCAGTGAGAATGTAGGAATCATTATGAAAAATTGCGAGGCTGTGGGAGGTACTCCTCTTGCTGCCATTAGAGCTGAGAAAAAATAAACATCTCCTTTTGTTACCAGAAACCTTAAAACTGCTGTGCTAATCCTTAGACTTCGAACTGGTGCACCCTATGGTTGTCCACTCCACACACCCTTGCCTTGGCAGAGTGAAGCGCTAAGTTGATGATTGTGTTTCTGTAGTTTCAGAGATGAAATATTTGACTTTAGAAATGCACATTCAGTTCTTCTAAAATCAACAGTATTACAAGTTGAAAAGGACGATCATTTCCGCTATAAAGTGGTCAGGGGCAGGGGCAGTAGGGTCCCATAACTACCACGGACCAGATATATACTTTTGATGAGTAACTTCACTTCTCCGAGCTTGTTTTCTCATTTGAGTGTACTGAGGAGGATATTAGAGAGGACCCTGCTATGCTTAGCATGGTGCACAGTAAGTTTTTAGTGAAAAAATGATTTCAGAGCAAACCAACAGACTGCTAGGAGATGAGATTGTGTATGTGAATGTTCACTGGTAGAACTAATTCCTCACATTCAAGCCACTTGTGCGTTTTGCATCCAGAGGAATGCCTCAGAGTATTATGTGCACCTTTAATTTGTTGTTAATAATTATCTTAAATCACATTTATTTTATTCTGTGTGGTTTTAAATGGTTTCCATCCACTCTTCATTCAGTCCTGACAATCTCCCAGTGGAGAAAGACTAGCCCAGAGTGGATAAGGTCTTCCTCAAAGACATGGTCAGTAAATGTCAGAAAAAGAACTTGAGTTCATTTTACAAAATTTACATCTAATACTGGCTTAACACCAAGGACACATAGCCAAAGGTGACATGTAAGTGATGTAGAAACATATTGCCACAATATACAGCATAAGAATTACTTAGTGAGCTTGATAGAAAAAGCTCACTTTCTTCCTCTAGGATCTCATTCAGCAGGTAGGGAGTGAGTGGCAACCTATTTTCTGTGTTTCCACCAAGAACCGAGGACGATTCTGATGACCCTCCAGAAGCACTGCAATAAGGGGATGCAACACTAAAGGGAGGGGCAATGGAAAAATAGGCATAGGAACCTGAAAGACTTCTGCTACAGTCTTTATCCAAGGTCAGATAGACTGCTTGCTATGGGCAGAGAGGTGTGGGGACCCTGTCTCTGTGACTGAACCCCTTCTGGTGGCTTTTCCTGCTCTGCCTGTCTTGCGCTACCCTGCTTCACAAGCTTGCTGGTGTCCATTCACACTGAGGTGGGGGAGGGGAGGGCAGCAGTGACCAGCTGGATTGGAGCATGGGCATTCACCATGTAAGCTGCTGCTTTTCACTGCCCTTTTAAATGCTGCTGAAGGAAAGATATGATCCAGCTTTCTTTAAGAATGATATTCTAGATTTTTCTGGGGCCTTGGACTTTCCCTTAATGCATCTCTCAGCTACTGAAATGAAGGGACAGGAGCCCTTACATGGCATCATCTGACTTTCTACAGTGATTGCTACCTGCTTGTGTGTGCATTCCCTTTGTTCTGCCATAAGGGAAGGATTGAACTCAGAGAAGTAAGGATTGTTTCAGTGGATTGGGATGTGGGGAAGGACCTGTGAACAGTAGAGAGAATAGTTTTTATTAAGACCACAGCTATGCTTTCAGCATTGATCATTTTAAATTGTAGAGTGACTAGAAATACCTCCTCTCTCCTTTGGAAAGAGCCCTTAATCTTTTTCCAAAAAAAAAAAGGTAAAACCAAATGAACAAGTAGAATGTTGATCTACAAGCAGAAGCATGTTTGGCCGATAGATCCTGATAGATAAGAGCTGTTTGCTGTGTGTTCCAGAGACCAAGGATTCCCTGCTCCAGAAAGTTTGCTTGAGGCAAGAATTTGATACTTGGAGTTTTGTATTCAGTATTATTGTGAAGCTAGACTTGAGCAATTTTTTCCAGTTTTCAGGCAGCTACCAAGAAATCAGTTCATTCCAAAGAGCTCCTTTAGATAAGAAGCAGGCACTTTAAAGCTTTTTGGTCTCCTCTAAGACACAAAAATATGATTCTAATCACTTGATGTTATATTGGGACACCAAAAGTCAAACAAAAGGCTGCTTTGATCTGAACCTTCTCTGTCCCATCAACAAAGATAACAAAGAGGTTTGGGAATTTTTTTGCCACCCATACTTAAAAGCATTAGCAACCTTTTTTTTAAATTTTTTATTTTATAAAAGGGAAAAAGAAGGTTTATTGCTTTGCTAGCAAAGGAGAAACACAGGAGACTCCTGTACCAAAGGCTGTGATTCTCTGGTCACTATCTTTTGAAGCAAATAAAAACTTGCATTGGAAATCAAAGATGGTTTTCAACTTCTTCAGCACTAAGTAATGAGAGTGCCTGATTCTTTTAAATCTTTGTAAATCTAAGAGTGGAAGAGAGCTGCTCTTTGTAGATATTTTAGATTAGATAGTAGACAACTAACTAGTAAATCACAAGATTATGTTTTATTTAATGTTTCCAGAAACCACCATGTTTAACCATTTCTTGTAGCTATGTGAATTAAGACAGTCCAGATCTTAGATGTGGTTACATAACTCAAAAAGTGCTTAGAGACCAACATTTGTAATATGTAAGTACCATTCACCATTTCATTATTAATGTTTCTGGTAACTGTCAGGTTCAATTATATTTTTTTTTCTTTCTGCATAGGATTTTTCTTGGTTGAAGCATAAAAGATTCTTTCACTGGTGATTCCAATTTGGGGTTTCAGGAGCCTTAAATTGTCTGTATCTCTTCCTAAAAGTCAGAAAAGATGTCCCAAAGATGTAGGAAAGAGAATGGGTAAATAATTAAAGGAATGAATAAATACAAATCTAGTGCAAAGTTTGAAATGTTTTAAATTATTATTTTCATAACTTTGAAGAATTTTAAAAGGTAAATTATTCCAGGTGTCTACTTTGTTGGTGAGAGACCATTACTTGTTTGGGCCAGAGTAACACAGGGAATTCCAGACCCATATCCAACCTCTGACTGTTGGTCTAGGATCTTGATTCTCCTCAAAGCTTTGGATCTTCTTGATCCTCAGTTCATTTATCCTCCTTGTGTGAAAACAAGGCAAAGAACTCTGCTGTACTAGCTGGAAGATTTGCTTTATGTTTCCTAAAAGTAGGGAAGAGTGTCTTGAATCACTTTTTGAATTACAAAATTATAAAATCCCCTTTATAGGGAATTCTTTGCACTGGGTATTCCTAGAACTCTAACCAGGTCCCCATAAGGAGGGAAAAATATTTTACCTTTTATAGTACCTGTGTCACTGGTTGCCAGAGGACAAAAGCTATGGAAAGGAAACCCAGTCTCTTCTTGAGAACCATCATGCAGCGTTGGCAAAAGAAGTAAACTGTGATGGTATTAACTTGGGTTCGTTTCTCCTTCCACCATGAGAAACCCACTTTATTTAGAATTTCCTAACCTGGATTTAACCATTTACAGGGCTCATCAGTGTCCCTCTCACGGTCCAACAGTCGTGAGCACTTGGGAAGCGGAAGCGAATCTGACAACTGGAGGGACCGAAATGGAATAGGACCCGCAAGTCACAGTGAATTTGCGGCTTCTGCTAGCAGCCCCAAGCGTAAACAAAACAAATCAAGTGAGCTTTGACTTTTTTTTCATACTTTTAAGCATAATCAGCTTAGAATGTGCTTATTTGGCTTGCGGTGATGTTGAACTGGTTCCAGAGACATCAAGTGCTTGCTGTAATCCAGGGGCCACCTCCTCTGTGCAGCTTTCTCTGTCTCCCAGTGAAAGCAGGCCATTTGGTTCTCTCCTCTCACTGCATTTTGTCCACCTTTCCACTCTAGTACTTGTCATCCTGAAGTACATGATTTATTTATCTCTCTCTCTCTCTCCCTATAGAATTTGAGCCCTGCAAGTCAGAGACCATTTTATTCAATAAATATTTAGTAAGTGCCGGTGTGCCAGGCATTCTGTAAGGCTGTGTCTTGTTATTTTTTTTCCTCAAATGCCTACCAGATTGTCTGACACCTAGAAGGTGCTCAGTGAATGTTTGTGGAATGAATAATACAGAAACATCCAGATTAGGAGGAAAAGACAAATAAGAAAACATTTGAGAGAAATCTTATCAAATTAGCATTTATACAACTGGAAAAAAAAAAAGACTGACCAGTGTTAGGTCTTGAAGGTGAAGAGCAGGATTTGGTTTTTTAAATTGACAAGATGTAGCTGAACTAGCCTTAGTAAAACAGCAGTAATCTCACTTTAAAGCATAGGTGTTCTGTCTGAGCAAATATGGCCAAGATCCAGGATGAGTCCATGCTTTGTCTGCAATAAAGCCTGTAGTTCTGGGATATAGAGATAGGTAAACAGACAAGAATTCACATAGTCATCACATCCTTTTTTTCTGGGATTTTGACAAATTTTGGAATTCTGAAACATGTAGCTTGGAGTTATTTGGAGACTACTTGAAGAAAGGCAAACTAGATGAGCTCCATAGACACTTAGTACGTGCCCGTTGTTACCATCAGTCAAGTCAACTGCACTGTCAGGAGTCTCAGATTTGAAAAGACCAATCATGTCATTGGCCAAGTCTAAATAAGAAAGCAGGATCAATTCTTTCATTCCCGAGTGCACTGTCCGTAGCAACCTGGAGGCTTCCTATTAGTTACTGGTAGGATCCTCGGCCTCTGACAGTCTGATTGGGCCAAGAGGCAGGCTGGTGCCAGGTATAAATCTAGGGGTGTAAATGATGTTCAGTCTATAACCCAGTGGAGTTAGTTTTGTTGCTTTTCTTTTTTAAATTTTAATCTACTTTCTTTTGTTTTATATTGAATAATTAAAACTGACTGTACTATGTGGTTGAAGTTTGGAATTAAGATGGTGGAGTCACTCACTAATAAAGAGGAATGATTAAGAAATCCAATTATTTGGCCTTTGTCAAATGTTTTAAGAGTGGGAGAAGTTTTGAAAAGGATGTAGAAACTAGTAGTTAAGATAATGTAAGAAAAGTTACGGGCCATTATGAGCATTTAACAGAATATTTTATTTTTAATATCCATTCTTTAAGTTTTTACTGTTTAGCCCAACAGAGGCACAAATAGTTCTCTTAAGTAAAAGTTACCTTTATTTATGCAAAATCTTTAAAGTGTCCAGTGTGTCGTAGAACATCTAAATTCCCACGAGTCTTCTTTCAGGTGCTCAATAATTACATGTTGCAAATGTTATCATGCTAAACAGCATAGCTTTAGATAATTTTCCTTAACTCTTTTGTTAAGGTCTCCAAACTTCCCTTTTCCCTGGGCATCCCTGTTTATTACCCGTGGCTCAAGTGTAGTTTTCAGTGGTTTCCCTTTTGCTGTCTGAAAAGTAAGTTCATTGTTTGCACAATAGATCATATGATCAGCCTGCCAGTGACTTCCATGTTCTCAAGTCCAGCGGCCACTCTGATGTGCTCATGGCATTCAGCTTTGTGTGTCACCTTTGACCCAGCACCTCACCGGTCACTCAACATTTTCTGCTTCACCTTTTAATAGTGGGATTCGGGGTTTTGTTTGGGGCCTTTTCCCTACACATTCTCCCTACAAGAGAGAAAATATCTATTTTTAAGAGAAAAAGACGACTTATGAGGAAATTCCTTTCACTTGAGGTATATAAAGGGCATCTCAGTTGGAAGATGAAAACAACTGGCGAGAGTGACTGATGGCACCAAACACAGCACAGAACAAGATTCTTGGGTCTGGTGGATGCACAGATCCCTAGAGTAGATTAGATGGATCAGATTAGCTTAGGGAGTGTCTTCTTCATCGTTCATCTTTTAGGAATCCTTCCTGGAGCTACATTGGTAGTGGTAAGAACATCTTTCCCACTCAGCAAGAGCCAGCTAGCTGTTGGTCAGGCAGGTGGGCAGTGTCTGCACCACTCTGCTCCACCTTCCAGAGCAGGGTATTTGAATGCCTGGTGAAGCACTTGACATGGTTCCATGGTCCATTGTCTAGCCTTGTTTGTCACCTGGTCTGAGAACCACAGACAATGTATAGAAACTTCACCCACCAAATCATCTGTGGAGGGAAGGCAAACCTGTGCATTACTGCTAGGATTTTCCCCAAGAGACCAATTATTTTCTGTCATAATTTAAACCCAGCAACATCAGCATCATTCTTATCACTCCTAATTTTAGAAGTGTTATTTAGTGAACTTGCTGTACAGTTTTATTTTCCTAGGGAATGAGATTTATATGTTGCAATATTCTATAGTTCCTGACCAAAAGAGAGCATAAGCAAAGATAGAGAGGGCACCTGCCATCCAAAAGCACCTGGACTTGTAATAACATCCCACACATTATTGTGTCTTCCTTCCAACTCCTCATTTAATTCACCATCAAATCAATTATAAAGAGCAAATGCTTCTGAATGCTCAGGGAGAATATGATGAATGATTATTAACTACAGAGGCACTGCTGTTGAATTTCTGCCTCCCAAGTGTAACTTTTAAATGGCAAGAGCCTCCCTGAAAGCAATAACCAGCATTTCCTTAATGAAAAGCCAATATTTCAGTAAAGGATTGCTGTACTGCTGCAGCTACTGCTCTGTTCAGCTGAACAATGAAATCTGAAATATTTGGGCGATTAAAACTTTTAATTAAACCATGTTCTCTCTGGGCATTTACACTTCCAGCCTGTCTTTCCTTTGCCTTTCAGCGGAACACTATCTCAGCAGTAGCAATTACATGGACTGCATTTCCTCGCTGACAGGAAGCAATGGCTGTAACCTGAGCAGCTCTTTTAAAGGCTCTGACCTCCCAGAGCTTTTCAGCAAACTGGGCCTGGGCAAATACACAGACGTCTTCCAGCAACAAGAGGTCAGTCGTTACTCATTTTCCTGGTGTCTTTGTTTTGGTAGTGTGTGTGACAACCTCTGGAAGGAAATCACTCGTTGACCTATGGCTGTGCCATCATTGAGTACTTACTCACATCTCATAGCTTGTCCTTGCTGCTAAAGAAAATGTCACCCCATTTCTTATTTATTTAGTGCGGCTAGTAAACATAGAATAGCAGAAATATAGAAAATAGTGTTTGCAAAAATGCGCCCTAGCCATCCTCCGCCTGTTTAGCTGAAAGACCTAGCTCTGCTCTGCTGATTCATAGAAGCTGTTGGATTCACAGCTTCACTAAGGTCAGTATCAAGACTGCAGCAGCTCACAGGGTTTCCTCCTTGAGTCTGTTATCATAGAAGTAAATAGCAGCTCCTGAAATAATATCTTTAGCTCCTTTTGATCCATCAGTATATTCTCACAGAATATTGTATTTTTTCATATGCTCATTTATTCATGAAATAACTGCTTGGGATTTGCCTGAACTGAAACAGAACTATGGATTTTGATCAAACTGATCAGCCATGCCTGCTATGTACTGACATACAGAAAAAAGAACTGAGCATGATATGTTCTAAGAAACGTCATGTTACTAGGACACACAAACCTAGTACCTCAGAAAATTAAAACGGTTCTGTAACTTTCTCTTTTTCACAGTAAGACATAGTCCTGGTTTGGTGCTTGTTGGCTCAGTTTGTGTCTGGGAACATTTGATTAAAGTCAGTCTTCCCCAGGCATGTACCAGTTGACAAAGAATTGAAGGTTTTTATTATTAGGTCTCTTGTATCATAAATTCAATGTATTGACCATGGCTTAAATAAATAATTAAGTTTAATTATGCTATGCTTTTGTTACACCCAAATTGCCATGTGTATGCTGAATTTCAGGGAATTGATTTTATATTCTTTCTTCTAAGATAGTGTTCATTTAACTAAGGATTTCTAGGTTGGATAACCCTTTACAGTGCTGTCTCCATTTATTTAGTCTTGCTGGTTCCATGAGGGCAGCTGACTGGGAAGCACAAGGGCAGATGTAGTTTAACTTGTCTAGACCCAGAAGAGAATGTTATTCATCAGTATCTAGGTTTGACTTTATTATTATGTTTCTTCAAATAGGAAATATAAGTTATTTTCTATACTTCATATTCCATTCCTCCAAAAATAAAACATGTGCATGCATAGCCAGAATAGCTTTATCCAATATTTTATTAACTAGGCCTGTGGCCTGTAAACCTGCCGCCTCATTTTGTCAATAAAACCTTATTGGGACGTAGTCACTCCCATTTGTTTATGTATTGTCTGTGACTGTTCTCAAGCTGCAACAACAGAGATGTACTAGAGACAGTGGTGACCTACACCATTTTCTTCGTGCCTTAAGTCTGGGGTCTATTGAACAGAACTTCTAAAAACATATCTTTAGAGCTGTGATAAATGATCTTAAGGTTTTATAAAATCTAGATGTACCTTAAAAATCAAATCAGTACATTTTAAATTGTGGTCAATATAATTTAAAAGTATATTTTACTTTTTAAATGTTGTGTTGAAATTTGGCAATCTTTTTGTAGGATATTTTCTAAGAGTTAGATATGATTTAATAAGAATCCCCCATTAAGTAACCTCATGAGATCAATATACATTATTTACCAACCGTAGCTGCCAGTTGCCTACTCCCTCGGCTGAATATGTTGCTTTACATCTATAGTCACAGTTGGTGACCACCACAGCCCTGTGTTATTAATCCCAAGTGCCCACGGCTGCTAATGGCAAAGTTGGGATCTAAATCCAGGCTCTGGCTTCAGAGGCTACTGCCTTTCTAGTCCTTCACATTGTCTTAAAGGGAAGAGTGGAATCATTGGGCTATTTCCCTCTATACTTTGTATTTGCAGGAATACTACAATTGTATTCTTTGGCACAAAAATTGTTGTTGCCATTTTTAGAAATAATCTGCTTTCTGGGTTGAGCCAAGTGAACTGTAAATCTGATATTGTCTGGGAATTCTATCAGTTTTCTGTACAACACAGTGGAAGATACCATCTGTCATATCACTTAGTTTCATTCTTATAAAAAATCACGTAACCAAACCAGAATCTAAGCTAACAAATATTTTTTTTTCTGTACCATATATATTTTCCTTTTTGCCATAGCCACCAGGATGCTCAGAGCTAAGTTTTCTGCTAGAATCATCACTTTTATGTCACCATTTTATTTCTTAATCCTCTGTCCCTTAGCCACCAAAATTAGTTTTTGGAGGTAGGCATCACATAATTAATAAATAGTTATAATAATGAGTTGATGCTACAATGATGGAGAAATTAAGTACTTAATATATTGGTTATAGATTGTTATTTTTTCCCACAGATTGATCTTCAGACATTCCTCACTCTCACAGATCAGGATCTGAAGGAGCTGGGAATTACTACTTTTGGTGCCAGGAGGAAAATGCTGCTTGCAATCTCAGGTGAATATTAATGTTCAACTCATTTTAAAATCGGAAAAACCTCTGCCAGTGGTCTCAACTGGTGGGGCTGGTTGTTCTCATCAGCCACTTATATACTACTCTGAGGTTCAGAGGGTTCTTCTGCCTACAGTGTGACAAATGTGGAGAATATCCCCCCTCCATCAAGCAGTGGCCTGCTTAGCCTTGCCTTGACAATGCTTTTTCTTACAATAGATCTCTTCAGAAAGATGTAACCAAAATTGCCCCATGCAGAACTTGAGAATGGGGGAGGGGAGGTGGTGGTTTATACTCCTGTTTGCAATCACAAAATAATCACTGTGTTCATGAATAATTTTCTTGATTATATATGATATTCAAATGTGTGTCCTTGCACACCAACCAAGATCACTGCACGGAGGACAAAAAGGACATTCTTTGGTGTAGTTTGCAACCTGATGGTTTATCTGGATACTCTTAAATGTTCTCAATGTTTTAATAGAATTGTGACTCACAAATGGCAGCCACAGAATGAAGGACAGTAACGTCTGCCTCCTGAGACCAGACTTCATTGTGCATCTGTTGCCTGTTCTGTGTATGAGACAATGCTCTAGGCTTATCTGATTGGGGGCCACTCATTTGGAAGTAATCGAACCAGCTGAGCCAGGAGTTGGCAAATGTTTAGTAATGTACCTCAAAAGTGTGTTTAGAGGAATGAAGAAATATGGGAGGAGGTGAGATTAGTTTTGGAAGATTTTTACAATAAGACTCTTGGATATCATATATGTGTACAGTCTCTCAAAAAGAGACATTCAGGAGAAGCCAAGAGAAATGACTTGCTTTTTCAGAAGTTGAAACTTGCAGGCTATACCTCCATAAAGCCAGCAGATATATCCACTTGGTGGAAGTTCTTTCCAGACAGCATTCAACTCATCAGATCAGCAAATAAAAATGGGAAGCCTCCATGGTGTTTTATTTAGCAGCACATTGCATACTCTACCCACCTCCCCATAAGGAATCCTTGATCTGAAGCAGATGTAAGCATAGCAGCTTTGATAGAGAGGTGGAAATTCTGCCCATGTACTTCCTGATGCCAACTGTTCAGCTCCTCTATGGACAGAGTTTTGCACACATCAGTTTTAGAAATCTACCTTGAACCTTATATACCCAAGAGGCTGCATTAATGATACTCCACAAGGTAGATGCATAATTCCTGTTTTCTCATAATTCGTCATAGTATAGGGAAAGAAAACTACATCAAAAAACTGCACTGTCTCTGCCAAGTTGTGGGTCCTTGGGTGAGTTTCAAAGCCTCTTTTGGTTTATTAATCCTGAAGATAAATTGGAATAGATGCTTATATAAGGCCACATGCCGTTTTTAAGATCTGTCCTTTCCTGTAATGTGATAGGGTTTATGGAAATAGACAATGTTAGTGTAAGTATTACTAGCAGGATACTCCCTTGTTGTTTCTTTTTTACCATTTGTGGCAATAGGGTGGTTTATTTAACTTGTTTACCATAAAGCTCATTCTTAGAGGTTTATTCCCTATACTTAAATTAACTTCTGTGCTTTCATATTCTTTTATTAATTTGCAAGTGAAATTGATGAAATTTTATTAATGAATTGAGCCAAACTGTATCTATAGGCCAGCAATCTTATACCAGTGAAGTGTACACTCCAGAACTCCATTACAGTTTCATGGAATGGCAGTGAAAATATAATGAAAACTAAGTACTTTCTTCACACACTAATTTTAGACTCTGTAAAGCTTTCAACAATGAGTAGATATCTCTAAATAGTTTCCTAGGTTGCAGCTGGATCATCAGTAACTTTATTCTGCAATATATTAGTACCTTTCATTCTGGGTTGTGGGGAGTAGGGGAATAATCAGAAAGGATTTTGAATCCTCTTAAAAAGTTTTTTTGTTGTTGTTGTTGGGTCTGTTGAGGTTGTATGCCACCTCTGTAGACTGCCCCTCCATGGGGTTCACAGCTCCTCTGGCTTTTAAAGGGAATTAGAGATGTTGAATAAGATGCTTTATGAATGCTTTGCACAGCATGAAGTATTTGATTAAGGATGATTTTACCTTACTTTTTTGAGTGCATTTGTTTGAACCTGGTAAATTGTTTTCTCTGCAAGTAATAAGATTTTAGTGAGAAACTCTTCATCGGAAAGCCTCTTTCTGCAGTTCAACTTATCTGATAACAAATACATCCAAACAAATACATCCATTTATAGTCCCAGAACATTCCATTTCTGGATAGACACAAACTAGCCAGGTAGACCTGACTCACATTTATCTTGTAGTTACACTTTGGTTAGGTACAGAGTTTGTTCAAACATGCTTTTAAAATTTTATAATTGCAAGTATGAGGTTTTTGTTTTGCTTTCTTCTTGGCCCAGATAACATATAAATATTATAGGAGGAGGTCAAATTTATCTCTTGTAGAGATGAATCCAAGAATAAATTAAATCTTTATTTTCTTTTTTTCAAATTAGTTATTTTGTGAAAGTCCACAGATTTCTCTGCATAGCATAGTGATTGTTTAGCTAAATGTGCAGAGACTCAGTGAAAGGAAGTTAGAATCCTGCTGACAGGCTTCCCATCCCAGCCTCAGGTAGATCTAACATTTCCCGACCTATTCTTTTAGTTTGTGACTCTGTTCAGATCCGCAACAAGATCCTGAGAGCTGCCAGGATTGTGTGAACCTTGGAATTTCAAAGAAAAAGGTTGGTATTTTTCCAAACTACCCCTTAGGCTTACTGAGGAAAAAAAAAAAAGAGGAAGGAGTTTGCTTTTATTTAAAAAAAAAAAAAAATCCTTAATCTTTTCAGTAGGATTTGATCTTTGCTTGATGACCTCTCTGGAAGATTTTTTTTAAATGCAAAGCACAAATTATATACATGTATCTGTTAGATATTGCATCTTTAGGGTATGGTTGAATTCCCTCACTACCATTTTGCTTTTTCAAGCTGATGGGACTTTTCAGAAAAAAAAAATTCTTCAATGTTTTTTTTTTTAATTGTATTTAGTGGTTCAGTCGTTTTCATGAGCTCTGTTGCACATGTGTGTGCTAGAAAAGAATGAGGTTGAGCCTCAGTTCTTGCCTTTTCTTCTCTATGACAGTATTCTGATTTGTAGGTTTATTCCCCTGCAAGAAAATGGAAAATAGTCTCCTAGTGTGACCATGGTAAACTTTTCCAGGGGATTCATTTATTCTTGACTCTCCTGTAAATTTGTCTTTGAATATGAAGTGCTGTAGTTGCAGGTTTTTTCCTTTAACAAATGCACTTGTTCAGTTTTGATGGGATTGTTATTGCTACTGTGATTTTGCAGGAACTTGAAACAGTAGCCCTCAGTATGCACATTGGCATGTATCTTTGTAAAGATATTGTCCCCACTTTTTTTTCAAAAGAGTTTTTCAGCATTTCTCTGTTTAAAAATAAATATTTTATTCTGAATATTAAATAATGCTGTCTCTGGGGTATGCCTGTACTTACCACTTTCTCAAGATTGTGTTCCTGAGGCCTTGGGTGGTCTTCTCCATTTGGTGGGTCTCTCAGGGCATTGACTTTGCATCAGGGAAGTGGGGCTTCAGATTCATCACTCAACAGATGTGTGGACAAGTGACTTTCACTATTTTTAAAAATCCGTTTTCTCATCTACAAAATATAGAATGGTAATTTTAGGGAGGAACTGAGTAGCACATATATAAAGTGCTTGTAAATCATTATTATCTTCTCTGCTAAGAACTACATATGAACAAAAGAGAGGTGTCTCCACTGTGACTTTGACCCTTATAGGGCAGGAAGGTACATTTTGGAAAGCATTAGGGGACAACGTTAAGGGTATTGACCCATCTTTTGGAACTCCAGATCATTCTGACCATATGGGCAGAAAAAAAACAAACATATAGCCTGTCAGTGGTCTTATCCTTAGCGTTATGTCTCTGACCATAATTACGGTGTAACTTCAGAATTCAAGAAGGGATGGTGTGTATAGATGGTTGAAGAGCCAAATTCCATAAGGTATTGAATCACCTGTTCCAGCCACCCTCAAGCAAAGGAAAGACAACTTCCAGTCAACTGCATAATACTTCTACTCCATTTGAAACTGAAGATATTTGTGTTTGGTGTTTATCAGAAACTGATTTCCAGAGTCTGACAGTTTTACTTGTATGAAGAGTTAGTTCCATCAGTGAGTCCAGGGTCTGTTGATGGTGGGGCTGCATCGTCATAAATGAAGAAGTCTGCTTCAATGAACTTTTCCCCTTTCTTGTTAATAATCTTTAGTTGGCGATAGACAAACTAAACAGTGTTTTCTAAGTACTCTCATTTCTTTACAATTAAAAACGGGTACCTCACTCTTCCTGATGTTTTGGATTCAAGTATAGTTTGTTCTCAAGTATTAATTTTCTAAGCTGTACCAAGTTAAATTTTTATTCAAAGAAACCTGACATGCTTCTTCATATTTCTGACTGAAGAGGACTTCATGTTTCTGACTCAAAAAGCATACATTTCATGAGTTGGGGAACTACGGGGGCTGTGGCTTCACTGGGGTACTCCTCCAATAACCTCGGGTATCGGGTCTTTTCACATCTGACTTCAGTAACGAAGTGGTTACTGTGTTTGACATGGATAAGTTCACTAAGTGTGATGATCTGTGTCATTGGTACTCAGTCCTCTCATCTACCATTAACAGCCTTGGTTGCCCACTCTGAAATGACCTGTGGGTAGGTCAAACTGTTTAAGATGGTTAGAAGATTTGCAGAATGACATAATCTCCCAGGGAGTTTACGAGCTACAGTAAAAGCTATTTGCTGTCCTTGCTTTTCTAGGCTACCATATGCTGCCTCTAACAATCAGATTTTCTAGTAGAATTTCAGAAATGTCTTGACCATTAACTGAAAGGATTTTGGTTTGTTCCCCCCCCCCTCCCGACCAGATTTGACTTTTTAATCCCCAAACCTACTCCATCACCATTTTCTGAGCTCTAATGCCATATCCTGTAGTACATGGGACTGAGCTAACAATTTTTTTTCCCCTCTCTCTAGAACTAAATAAAAACCGAAGAAAGCTCTTTGAACCACCAAATGCACGCACCTCTTTCCTGGAAGGTGGAGCAAGTGGGAGGTTACCGCGTCAGTACCACTCAGACATGGCCAGTGTCAGTGGCCGCTGGTAGCAGTCCCCACTAGGCACATGCCCACAAGTACCTGTAGAGTTGGATGCAGGAGATCTGTGAACAGCCATCACTTCACACCATCTTCAGCACTCTGGTGTCTGGTATCAGGACCAAAGTATCTTATTTGCACCTGTACTTTGTGGCAAAAAGGAAGAAAAGAGAGAAGATGTTCTTATCTTGCCATACAAAATACCAAATGTGGATTGCTTTTTTAAAATGGCAATGGGACAGAATTTGAGGATAAGGCTTTATTTCCTGTTTTTATTTACCTATATAACATATGCACTGATTTTTTTTTTTTGTACTTAAATGAAGGATAAATTGACATGTGGGATGCCAGAAAACTTAGAAGTTATTGTGTTTGCTTGTTTTGGTATTTGGGGCTTTTTAAAAAAAATGATCAAAGTGGAATTTTCTGGTACTGCTTTAAAATACTTATTGAGGCCTTTCAGCACTTTACATATTCTAATTTCTTGTCCTGTGGAACTTTTCTCTCTAATTATGTCACCTGACATATTGGTACAGATCAGATTTAGTCATTTTTTTTTTGTTTGAAATGGTACTGGATATTGATTTCTGTGCAGAATATTCTGTGACTTTGGGAAATGTGAGTCCACTTGGTTATGGGCCAATTCTGTTGTTCATTCATGTCAGCATCCTAGAAATACATAGCAATGAACTAGTTCACAGTAGCAGGTGCAAAAAACAGACCAAATGGACTTTGCAATATTAACCCTTTGCAGTCATTGTATTTAGCTGCTGCCTATAATGCTAAAATGATTTTAATGGTTATCTGAAGGCAAAGGGATGGTTTTTTGTTTTTCTGGGTTTTTTTTATTTTTTATTTTTTAGCATACTGCCAGTAAAGGACACTTATTTATATCAAACTTTATTTTTAGATATTATAAGCATACAGTACATAATTGATGAAATTGATATTTACTAGAGATTTATGGTAGAGAATGGACGGCATTCAATAACTGGAGCCCTAGATTGTCACTTTATTTAAAAATAAAAATAATCATCTGACAAGACAGCACTGTTGCCATTACGAAGAGAAAAGATTGTGGTTCTTATGATGCACACATTAGCTATGCTCTGTACGGTCATAGGACTTTCCTAAAACTGTCCGCTTATGTTTGTTAAGAATGGAAAGGCTCTATTTAAGTCTTCAGGGTTAGTTTATAAAGATTGCTGAATTCTGAAGGAAAAAAAAAGACTGCTTTCTAAGTGGCTAGATTTATTGTTACAATCTTATACTGTGAAAGTCCAAGAAATCGGGCAACGTTGGTTCCTGCGTCTTTCCAGACTTCTTATTGCGGATTTATGAAGGGTTTTCAATCAGTGAAGAAAATCACTCAAGTGCCTTTCCTTCTTCAGAGCAATATTTCTACTATATTCATTTGTTGGAAAACTTTCCCATAGGAAATATTGTCAATTACCTGCAATGAATTATTTATGTTCAGTATCTTTTCTATGTGGACATAAACCACCCTCATGGGCTCTCAGCCAAAGGAATTAGATGAACTTACACAACCATGGGGGAATGACACACATGTGGGATAAGAGGTACTCCTGACATTTTCCCAAGACTAAGTCTTACCCTTAAAGAGCAAGAATTGATATTTTGCACACAGAAAATTTTTCACTTAAAAAGTTTGGGTTATGTAACCTTGAAGGCACAGACCATGAGCCTGTCATAATATTAACAGTTTTATCTGGCATTAAGGGGCTGCCCTCCTCAACTACACCTAATCTTCTTAAGAATATAGGACTGAGTAATCCTTCTCTTTGCAAATACAACATGCACATGTATACAGTTGATCATGTGCAGCTCCCTGACTTATGCTGTGACGGATTAATAACAATTCAACTTGATTATTTTTTTTCTTAAATAAGACCTGCCCCCTGCCCAAAATAATAATAATAATAATTTGGAGCTTGTTTCCTAGCTCTCTACCATTTGTATTTGCATTAGAAGGAAGATGGAATGAATCTGCAGTATTCAGCTGACAGCAGTTTTATGAAGACTTTGATATTATGCCAAAGGGAAAACTGTCCCACTTAAAACAGATTAAATAGGGTGGCTAAAAATAAAAAAACACTGGACGTTATTTCACTTTCTCTTGATGCAATAAGGGAATATGACACTACAATATACAAAGTTGTCGGTGTTATATGATGCACAAAATATTTGGATTATTTGAATAAATGTTAACTTTTAATCAATCTGTGCCTTAATAGTGACTGGTTATCTGTAAATATAGAACAGATACAGATTGTATTTTTGTGTGGGTTTTTGTCCTTTTAGTGACTTTTTAAAAAATGAGATGGAATTAACATTGAAAAATGGGAATTTTTCTAAACTAATCAATTGTTACATGAGAAATAAATTTATATAACCCCTTTGTATTGCTCTTCTTTGAAGAAATGTGTCTTCTTTAAAAAAAAAAAAACTTACACAAACTCTCTGCCTGTCTTAAAAGAAAACTTTTAAGTCTTGGGCGAATTTCAGTAGAGTTGAAAGATGTTTCTGCAGTAGAAGTGAATGTGCACTCTCTTCTCTTGTTTTGCATTGACAGAACTCATTTTCAACCAGAAGTTAAGGCACTTTATTTCAGCCAGTGAATCTAGGACCAGTAATCAATCATTGTTTCTCTGGCCACCCACAGGTACATACCGAAAGAGTAACATTACAGAACCAGCTTTATTCTTGTTATTTCTTTATTTTAAAGACTCAAGTGTATGACCACTTTGACAACCTCATCCATCATCAAAGGCGCTCCAGAACTGACCCTGGTTCACACTTCAGGGACTGACCGTTGTGCTATCTATCACGCTGAAGACTAATTCTCAAACTGGAATTGCTACTGCATTAGTAATTCTGAAATTTTGCTAAATTTTTAAAGAAAACATAGTCCTCTTCCCGTTTTGTTCCCAGGATTATCTCTATTTGAATTACCTATGGTTATTTGGTTCTTGAAAGTTCTACAATTAAGAGTTCTTTGAATAATTTGAAATCTTGTCAGTGACCCAATGAGAAATTATTTATACTTGTTTGTATTTATGCACAGATACAAATACACGTACACAGTAAGTACCATGCTTTGGTCTAGACATAGCAGTGAATAAAACAGAACCCCTTGGCCTCATAGAGCCGACATTCTGAATGAAGAAAAGTGAAGCTGATGAGAAGGGGTTGGAGATGTGATATCCCCACCCTTCAGCATAGGCCTCTGTGTTTATTATACTCCAAGGAAACTCTGGGGCCATCTAGAAATCCCAGTTTTTAACAAAACTGTGAGAAGTACCCATCACATCGCAGTAGGCCTGTGTTTTAAAATGCAAACTACTCCTTTCCCCTTTATCCTTCCTTATATTTTCTAGTTTTCACAGGTCTAATACCATTCTCAAAAGGATAAGTGGCGAAAAGGGTTGTGTCCCCACTTTCATAGTCAGACTCTACATTAGGTAGGCACCATAACTTCATAGACTTGATTCCAGGTCACATTGCACTTTCTAGAAATCAAGTTTCCCTTAACATGAGTTTGCCACCACTGTTCCCGACCATGCTATAACAACTTAGAAATCAATTCCAAATGCAGACCTCCTGCAAGACACAACAATGAATAAAGAGTCTCTTCAGATGACTGGTCCATTGGGAACTTCACCTGACTCAGGTACTTATTACATGAATTCGAAGTGTTAAAGTGCGTTTGACCTACTTTTGATAATAAATTGACATTCTATGTATTTTGTAATTCTGGTCATCACTAGAGGCCACGGTTCTCTTCTAATTCCTGTTCCAGGTAGGTTAGCTTCCTTGATTCATCTCAGACAGCCTTTTGGATAACAAGGTAATCTGGCCAGGACATTAAGAGACTAGAATTTGTAGTTTAACAAGCATGCAGATGTTGCCTTTAAACCTTTGGAAAATTCCTCTGTCTCAAGAGTCCTTGTCCATAAAATAGAAATAACACCTACCTTTGTGAGTGGTTGAAAGGTGAGAGGGAGCTGTATGTAAATCTGTTTGCACAGCACACTGCTCGTAGCAGTGAATTTATAGCAGGTGCCCTTATTACTGCATGGGTTTTTCTTTAACTGCATCTTTTTCTTTACCCATTGGGCATCATCATTGTGTTTTGTCTTCTACACCACAGCGTGGGAAGCCCACTTCCTCTGCCAGAATATTAGTCTTAAGCACCTGCCCTCCTGACCCAGAAGGCTGAAGTCAGAATACTGTCCTGAAGGTAAAGTCCAGAGACCTCACATTGTATAGAAATCTCTAATGTATTTGGTGGAGATATATATATTTCTTTCTTTTAAATCTGATTCTCTAGTATATTGGTATCTGGGTTCTCCAGATGGGTGGAGTTAGTTCCAATAGCCATATGTTGTTGCTAATTGTCATATTCTTACAGAGTTCAGTACTTTTGGATGTCTTGCCCTGCCCCAACCAAGAGAAAACTATTCCCTAGATGCTCCATTTCCCTCATTTATACTCCTTTCTATCCACCACACCCCAAGAGTTTCCTATTCCCTAGATGCTCCATTTCCCTCTGTAAGTATCAATGAGCTTCCCCCCCAACCCCCACCAAGGAGCAGTTTGCCTCTATCTTTGTGCTAAGTTTAGTTCTTTTCCACTTTAATAAGTGAACGGTTAGATAATATTTGACCATTCTTACAGACATGGCCAGGGCACTTCAAAAACACTTTATCAAGGGATTTCACATTTTTGTTGCTTTTTAAAAGACTGACTCATTCTGAAAGGAGGCAAGTAGAGCTTGAAGTTCCCTTTCTCAAGGGTTAGTCCACGAGAGTGTGTTTTGGAACAGCTTTTGGGAACTGGAGTCTGCATCTTACTTTAGAGGCCGAATTTCAGTGTGGGAACCAGGACCTTTAGGAAAAAATTACAGTAACTGAAATGTTTCAACTTCATAATAGAATGTTTGGATGAGCTACAAGAGGAAAAAAAGAGTAGCTCAATAATTGGGTGTGTGTGGCCCTTTCTTTCAAAGCCAGAGAAAACAAATGACTCTGAACTCACTGTCGTAAGTACTTCTTAATCCCTCATAGAGAGGCTGTGGGAATTAGACATTAAAAGACTTTAGCAAAACATCTAGAAAACAATTTATGTTCAAACAAAGTTTTTACCCAAGCACAATTGACTGTCCAAACTGCTGATGCAATTTGAATCAAAGTCACCATGGATAAAATTTTCCAGCTTTCTGAATTTGGTAATGAGTTGGTATCATTTTCTTACTCTCTTTCCTCATTAACAGCTAAATGAAGTTGCTCTATGTAAATTCTTCCTATGACTTAATAAATATCCACAACAAAGTTATGTTACCTTCTGTTCTGCAAATGTGAGTAGAATTTCTAAATAAGGAGGGGAATTTCCATCCTATTACTTTCTTAATATGTTTAAAAGTTTTTGAACACACATAAAACTACCTTAAGTACTCCCATTAGAAAACTGGGAAGATTGAGGGAGAGAGGCTTAAGAAAAATTACAACTTTTCCACCACATACATAAATTGGGCACTCCAATGAAGTAGGATTTTTTTTAATATGACAATGGGATGCATTACAATTCTTATTACACATATAGAGCACAATTTTTCATATGTCTGGTTGTATATAAAATGTATTCACACCAATTGTGTCTTCATACAAGTACTGTGAATAATAATAATGAGCATCACATTCCACCATCATTTATAACCCCATGCCCCCTCCATTTCCCTCCAACCCCTGTAATGAGGGCATTTTTAAATAACTGACTTGCTTTCAAAATACCGGAGAACTTGGAATTGAGTTTTAAAAAAAAAAGTATTCATAGGAATGAGAAAGATATTTGTCTCCTGTGTATAAGCCTAGAATGAATGCAAACATTTTGGAGTATCCGTGTAATAGAAAATATAAACATGAAAAATGGGCTTCTTGACTTTCTGGTTACACTGCTTCCAAGGCAAGGATACATTGGTAAGTAGAAGCCAATTAAAGAAACAATAGCAAAACTTTAGGTGCTTAACTTCATGTCTTCTTCATGGGCATTTCTGTATGAAAGATTGTGTCTGCCAGTTTGTTAATAATTGAAGGTAAGTGAGGCAAATACAGATGTTCATTGTATCTGTGTTTCTCAAACCATCTGCAGTAAAACACTTTTTTTTCAATTTCTTGCAGATTTGTAAAAGATAGTAATTGTACTTACATTTTTACTGTAAGAGTCTAAATGCTTACTGTCACTTTGTGTACCTGCCACAGATGAGAAACAAACACTTCTTGAATTCACACCTGTCCAACATCCACTGAGAGGAGTGTTGAATTGTAATGTTTTTGTATTATAAACTTTAAATGTATTCAGAATCATTCATGGAACTTTCAAGTGCCATGGGCATGTTTTTTCAAGCCACACCAGCACTGAGTACGGATGTGCTTTCAGGTAATTGAGACACAGTAAACTATATGAATCTCTTGGAGACAGCAAAATGTTCCTCCATGGGTGCTCAGTCTCAATGTTCTTCTCTTAAAAGATTTCTGGTTTTTTGGACAGCCCCATGGCTACTACTGCAGTGCCCTGGGTTTCACATAACAGTTCTCCTGTTGATTTCTCCAAATCACTTCTTCCCATTTATTTACGCTTTCCCGTAATGGAGGGAGAATAGCATTTCCAGTCACTTGGAAGAGTTCTTGTTTTGTGTGGCAGTACCACTGGGATCTGGCATGCTCTAGAAGTGGAAAGTATTTCCTTTGATATCCTCAAGATGGTGGCTTGCAGGGTTCCAAGGCAGAGGCAGCAGGGCGTGCGTGTAGCATTACAGCATTTTGGAGGCAGGCCCATGACCACTTTAACCCTTGCAAGGCTAATGCAGACCTCGTTGTCTGGAGCCATTCTTTATTAGCCAATGTTAGAACTTTATCTCTGTTTGATGCTCTTGAAAGTTGATTTTCATGTTCTGTTAAAGCAGAGGAATCACCCCAATATCCACAGCAGGGAGTGATAAAGATACATTTTCAGCAACAAACAGAAAAACAAAATCCCAAATAACTGTCACTCCAGCCTAGAGCCTAGAGAAACAAATTGACAGCTATGTGAAAGGGATGTCCAAACCAATGTGCCTGTTGGAATTGAACGTGCGGCCATGTGGAGTGACGGTAACAAAACAGCTACAAGCTGCTTGGGGATTATAAGGACCAACTGTTCACACAGAAGGGAAAGGAACCAAGTAAAATACTGTAAAAGGAAAGAGGGAAGTTGGGGGAGCATGCTAAGCAAGGCCTGCAGGCCACAACAAGGAGACTGAAATCCCTGCGCTTGTGTCTGTGAAACTTGGAAGCATTGTGCATCCAGTTCCTCCAGCTGCGCAGGGTGAACTGCTGTAGTCAAGAAGGAGCTCCCGAAGTGGGGAGACAT